GAAAATACATAAATTTATGAAGTTTCTCAACTAACTGGTGAATGAACTACTATGGAGGGTTTTTAAGATTAGGAAGTCAATGAACTAGATAAAAAGAGATAGATATGGTAAATATCAAGTTAATTTTGAATTTAATGATCCACCAAGATCTAAAAACTTAAAAAAAAAGTCTTTAGAAAAAGGAGTAAACAAACTATAACTACAACTATTGTGAGTTTCTCAAAAATATATTCAAATTGTATGTTATGAACATGCTGGCATATGTCTATACCTATATCTATATGTCTTCATGACCTTGGGTTTAGCAAATATTTTTAATTGGATTTCACTCAATTTAAAAGTTTTCTTTTTCTTTGTTGCAAAGAATACATTCAGAAAATCCATAGAATGGTAAAAATATTTGAAAATTATATACAATCATAATATAAAATGAACACTTATGACTCAAAAACAAAAAAGATAAAAGAAACCAGTTACATAAAATTGAGAAATAGAGTAGATATTTTTTCAAAACAGAAATGAAAAAAGACAATAAGCACAAAATCTGTCCCACACCATTAATCATTAAGGGAATAGAAATTCAACCACAATGGGATATCATTTCATATAAAGAAGAATGTCTAGAATAAAAAAAATCAGAAAATAATCAGTGTTGGGGACAATGCAGAAATACTGGAACTTTCATACATTGCTGGTGAGAATGTGAAATGGTCTGGTGGTTTCCCGAATAATTCAATAAAGAGTTATACATGTTACAGAAATTCTACCCTAAAGTATAAACCAAGATAAATAAAAATAGTTGAGCAGAAAATGCTTATACATAATATTTATTGGAACATTATTCATAAGAACCCATAGATGGAAACAACCCACAGGTTCACCAACTGACGAAAGGATAAACAAATGTGGTATAGATAGCCATACAATGGGATAATTTTTTAACATAAAAAGGAATGGACTGTATGCTTGAACATAGATAACCATGAATGTGAAAGCAGTAAAAGAAATCAGTTACAAAGGGCCACGTGTTATACAATTCCATTTCTATGTAGAGACAGAAAGTATATTATTGGTTGTTTACATTTGAGAATAGGGATGGGAAGGTAGCAAAGTGGCAGCCATCTGGTATAGGTTTCTTTCTTGGTGATGAAAATATTCAAATTTACTATAGTGATGGGTACACAGATTTATGAAATACTAAAAGTATCAAATTCTAAAGTTAAATGGGTAAATTGTGTGGTATATGAGTCATATTGCAAGTTGTTTTAAAGCCTGATGTGGTGGCACATGCATGTAATCCCACCCACTCGAGAGGCTGAGGCAAGAGGAATAGTCCATTTCAGAGTAGCTGGATGACTTACTGACCCGTTTAAAAATAAAAAATAAATTAAAAAACTAGGGGGTAGCATAGTGGTAGAGTATCCCTGGATTCAATCCCAGGTACCAGGGGGAACAAAAAGAAAAAAGAAAAGCTTTTTTAAAGGTTTTACTAAAGAACACTCCCAAGTCAAAGAATATATGAAAACAGTGGTCAGAATTTGATAAAAAGTTATTGAACATAAAATTACCCCTACAAGCATGAAACAAAGTAAAGATCCCAGGCACAAAAAAAGACACACAAAGAACAAATATATAGGTAACAGGACTCAGGAAAAAAAAAGGCAAATTATGAGGTAAGATTTCTGTCAGAAAAATGTGATTAGTGATATGTGTGTACTATTTTTTCAATAAGAGTTTTAGAATGATTTAGCACCTTAAACTCTCTGAATGTATGATATAATTTAAACATTAACATTAAACAACTTTTAAAAAGAATTTTTAAAAATTTGAGCACTTATAGACTTCTAGATAATACCTGACCAGTATTCTTCAAATGTATCATGGGCATAGAAAACAAGGAAGGACTGAGAAAATCAGAGGAGACTAAAAGGAATTAATTCATGGAAAAGAAAAGGGAATGAAAGAAAAAAACAGTGAAATCCAGAGTCTAGAGTTCACCTAATAGCATTGAACAGATATTAATTTCTTAATTTTGATAAACATACCATAGTTATATGATGATATCTGAGAAAGAATAAAACAGAGCTTCTCAGTCTTTGTGGTATCCACATGCATCAGAGGGTAGTATGTGGTGCACTGCAGGACATTTAGCTGCTTTCCTGACCTACACAGATTACACATGCATAGTATACCCAACCTCGGAACTCCAGCCCTACATCAAGACCCTGGGTGGATGGATGGGGGGTCGGACAGTGAAGTCACCTTTATTTGGATACCACTGGACTACATTAATTTCTAATATTAGCTATCCAGAAAAATCCTATTATCTTTTGTGATATGGGAAGGAAAAAAATCAGAGAGGTTCAATACCTATGAAAACCCCTCTTAACTAACATTTCCTAGTGAAGGTACATGCAGATGTGATTAACTTATGGCTGCCATAGCGGTTTTTAAAGAAAATTTATGTACAAACCAAAATGATACCTATTAGGTTTTACTGCAAACAGGACATAGAAAGCTGTTGAACTGAAAAGAAAACAAGGTTTTCTTTTCTTTCTTTCTTTCTTTTTTTTAAAGAGCTTTAGAGTTGTATATAGTAGTTGGGTCAGGAAATGTGTATTTTAAGAAATCCATACCCTACATTAGCTGTCCACTATGATGATAATACCACTCTAAGAAGTTTCATAGCTATAAAAGGCATTGCCGTTATCAAGAAATACTTTGTTAGGAAAATTAGAGCTTGGAATTTAATTTTATTTCCAAAATCATGTTACTTAAGGAATTGCGGATATGAAAACAAATTTGGATTTCATTCTGCAGAACTCTTCCTTCCTCCTTCCCCAACAGTTGGCTCCTCTCTGGACTGTGGAAAACTTGTAAACTTTCTTATTAAGCATGTCCATGCCATTCACTGGTCTCTCAGAACCTGCAAGAACCTGTTGTCTGCTCTTAGATTGGGTTCTTACTCTTCCAGCCTTTTACTTTCTGTCCCTCAGCATTGAGGACAGCTCAAGACCTGATCTCTGTACACCCTTCTGAGGAAAATGTTCCCAAGAACAGTTTTATAGAACCTTGAACAACCTTCCAACTTGATCACTATAATCAATTACACAGTATCTGTCAAACACATTATTTTTGTAGTCATTTCTTTTTAACAGACTTTTATAGTAGTGAATCTTTCTAGTCTGAATACTATTAGTCTATTTTCTATTACTCTAGTGAAGTAATGGAGACAGGTTACTTTATGAACAAAAGATGTTGAGCCCAGCTTCTAGTACTGGGTTGAAGGGCATGGTACTGACATCAACTCTGCTCTGGTAAAGATCTCATGGTGGATGCTATTACAATGTGAGATCACATATAAGACAGAGAGATCATATCTCCAAGCAGGTTCCCAGAAAGGAAGTCAAAGAGATAGGACACATCCATGGTCCCTAATAACAACCCTCTTGTGAGAATATACTTAGGAGTCTTGTGAGAACAACAAGGAAGACACACACCCAATTATCTCACCTCTTAGCATGTCATCGAAGACAAGCTTCCAAAACATGAATCATTGGGAGATAAATCTAAGCCATACACAAACTACAACACATAGATTACTAGTCAAAATAAACAAAAAAAGAAATGAAAAGAAAAAGAAAAAAGAAAGAAAAAATGCAATAATATTCAGAGAAGAAAATCTGTATACGAATGTATGAAAGATTAAAATTATGGAAGCATCTACTTAAAACATAAACCATAGTCTACCACCAACATTTCCTTAAGAGAAAAATTGCAAAAAGTGATATTAAGAAACATGATAGAAGAATAAAAATGCATCCCACTTACGAAACAAAAACCTCTATTTATTTTTCCTTAAAAACATTCAAGTGAATTATACTCATTTTTTATAATTATGAAAGAAAATGTCCTTCTGTCAATAGCCTTCATGCAATTTTTATGAACTGCAGAAATTATTATACTTTCTCTCTGTAAATGTCAAGTACAAAAATAAGGCAACTTTGATAGTCAGATGTAACATGATACAGATGCTGAGAACAGTTCAGTAACTTCTTAAAAAGATAAATCTAGAGTTACCGAATGAGTTAGCAGTTCTGCTCCTAGCTTCATACTAAAGAGAAAGGACGACATTTGTTCCCACAAAATATTGTATATGAATTCTTACAGCACTACTATTCATAGTAGTTCAAGGGTGAAAACAGGCTAAATGTCCATCAAGTGATGAAAGGATAAACAAATACACTGTATCCGTGCAATGGAATAATCTTTGGACAGAAAGAAGTACATGTCACAACAAGGTCACTATGCTAAAGGAAAGAAGCCAGTCACAAAAGACCACATCCTTTAATATTCTATTTATATGAAAGTCCACAGAGGGAAATCTGTAAAGTCAAAAATGAGATTAGTGATTTCTGGGGCTGGGAGAAGAGTTAGAAAGTTATGGCTATGGAGTGCAGGGTTTCTTCCTAAGAAATGTTTCATATTTCTTATATTGACTGTGATGATGGGTGTGTATCTGTGTATGTACTAAAAACCCCTGAATTATACACTTTACTTGGTGGAGAGTATGCATGGATGGATGGTATGCAGATGATATGACAGTAAGGATGTTAGAGAGAGACCAATAACCAGAGGATACAGACAAGAGTTGTTAGCCCCTCCTTGGGAGAAAAACAGTTTCTATGAACAATAGGGTGGGTTGAAAGAGAAGAGGCTTGAGCCTCAAGTTTCTTGCACAGGGCCAGCTAACTTTGGCTGTTGCAACGCTTGGGATCCTCGCCTGCGCGTGTCTTTGGCACCCACCTGACGCGTGGTCTGGGTGTGTGAACCGTTTCAGCGTCCACCACCAGTGTCCATGCCCCACGCGCTTTCCTCGTGCCCAGGTGCCAACGGTCACCCGAGCCCTGGGCACTTTGCCTCTGGCCGCGTCTGCAGACATAGGGAACTTCTGGAAGCCGAATCCCTACTAGAGGCCGGGACCCTGTCGCCCGGTTCCCATGGGTAGCACCCTGAGTTCGCCTCAGCCCGCGCCACCACCCCGGGTCCGGGGACGCCTGAACCCTCAGCTACAGCTGACCTCGGCTCCAGCTCTGGACCATGTTCAGCATGGCCACAGTGATAGCTGTGTCCGGAGCGGGCCGGTTCCCAAGATGCTGCTGGCCTGGAATTTCACCAAGCCAGGGAAGGAAGGCGCTTGGGGGCGCTTCTCTACCCCAGAGACCCTGATGGGGCCGGATCTTTCCAGCGCTTGGGAGAATTACTTGAAGCGGCAGCTCTGGAATGCCCGGAACCCAAGACGGACCTGGAGCCCAGTGACCATCAAGATCGCTGCTCCTCAGCGCAGGGACAGCCCACTGGCATCCCAGGGACAGGGAGGCCCCTCTGCTGGGCGCAGACTCTCTGAAGAGCGCCTAGACCCCTGCTCCAGGGAGAACGTGCTGAGAGCGCTCAGCGAGTGTAAGAAAGGGAGCAGGAGGTTTGATGGACCACTGTGGTTTGAAATCCCAGAGATCAAGAGCAGGAGGCAGAACCCAGAGCCCAGGCCATCTGCCTTCAAGCCTCGAATAAAAAATGGAGTGGTGCCTGCCTTTGTGCCAAGACCTGGGCCTCTGACTCCAAGTATCTACACCTGGAGCGTTAGCCTCTGTGATGTGGAGACTGACTACCCAGCCTACGTGGAGCCTTCCTTGTCTGCCCCCCAGCCTGGCCAAGGGGCCACAACCATGCAGGGCACTGAGTCTCGCCTGGAGAGCTGGGAGAAGATACGGCCTTCCTGTGGCCTTCACAGGCCTCCTGAGCATCAGAGAGGTGCCTGTAGAGTCCCAATCATCCCTGAGGGCACCCAGTCTGCTGGTCCTTTTGGCTTCTGAATCCAGCTCTGCCAATTCCTTCCTGAGACTTCAGCCTATGTATCTACTTTCGCCGTCTGACCTCCAGGTTCCACCATAGCCTGGGACCCTGATGCTCCAGCTTACCAAGTACTTACTGCTCCATCTTCCTTATCGGCCAACCCCCCCCCCCCCCAGCCTGTCCTTACTCTGCAAACCCACACTGGAGAATTGTTCATATTGAAACCTTTGCCTCCTCTGTGCCTGCCCTCTCCTTCCTGCCCTTTCTTCCCAGACATTTCAGAAAAACATGTTTCTTTCTCCCCTCCCATTTGTTCCCCTCCCATTTGCCTAGTTTGTATAGTTAAATATTTGATCTTATTAAAAATTAGTCAATAAAAAAGGAGCTTTTCATCCAAAACTAAAGGGAAAGTATATTGCAGGCAGGGAAAGCGCCAAGGCCTGCATTAGAATAATTTATAATAAATAATTTATCTAAATTCAGTAAAGCTGGAGAATAGTGAGTGAAAAATATACTGTGATGCACTATGATGGAATATTGCAGGTGCAGGGGCCATAGTGAATAATATGGATTGTATTCTAAGAAGTATGCACTCTAGGCAGAAGGAAGATAGAGATATGGGTGATATAGATACATATATATATTTTAAAAGGTGATTCTGGTTGCTGTATGAATAGTAGAGGATCCAGGGGTAGCTATTGAAACAGAAACAACTAAAGTTAATACAGAATTTCAAACGAGATGAGCATGGCTTGATCTGAGATGGAAAGGATGCATAAGGGCTGAATTAGAGGTGTATTTAAAAGATAGGCATTATGGTGTATTAAGAATTATAATGCAAAAATAAATAAATAAATAAAACAGAAAAATAAATAAATAAAAATATGTAACAAAAAATATTTAAAAAATAAAAGATAGACATTATGGACTTGCTATTGCCCTAGATAACAGCTTTAGGAAAGTGAAAGAATCTCAAGATGTTATTAGTTCAAGAAACAGGATAAAGGTAATGCCATTTATTGAGATGTAAAATAAGAGAAAATGTTTGGAGAAATGAAGATATTTTTTATTTGTTTCTAGAAGAACTAGAGCATATTTTATGTCAGTGAAATTTATCAACAATGCTGTTGAAAGAAAAAAAAATGAGCCTAGAACTCAGTGTGTGAAGCTGGGGAAATAAATTTGTGAATCATGAACATTTATGTTCACCCATAATAATGGTCCTTAAATCAATAGGCTACATGAAATAAACAATGTAGAGAAAACACAATCAATCATGAAATCCATGGTGTTCCAATGTTTAGAACATGAAAGGAAAAAGGAGACAAGAAGAAACCTGAAAGACAATAATCATTGAGATGGGAGGGAATCCAGTAGCAGCAGTAACCCTGAGAAGATTTCTATTGGCTGGAATTTAACAGTCATATTAGTTGCTTGAGAAGTTAAGAAAAGAAATATCTCATTATTGACCGTTTTTTAATTTTTTTTTTTTTTTTTTTTTGGTTATAAGTGGACACAATGTCTTTATATTTATGTAGTGCTGAGGATCGAACCCAGTGCCTAATGCATGCTAGGCAAGCAGGCTACTTTTGATCCACAATTCCAGCCCCATCATTATTGACTTTGAGAAGAGAAATTTACATAAAATTTGGAGAGCAGGAAGCCTGAATTTAGTGGGAAGAGGCAAGGAAGGTTGGATGTAGAGGAAGGAATTATAGAAGACATTAGCAAGTAGTAAGTTGTGAAGTAAAGCAGGCAAGTAAGAATGCTGGAGGGAATTTTGTTTTAAGAATTTTTTTAAGAATAAAATGTTTCAGCAGTCAAGCATTTTTTTGGAAAGAATTGGAGCAACAGAATGATCATGGAGAGTGGGTGGCACATTGATTCATTATAACTTCAGGGTTGCACAGAATCAGGGGTGCGGAGAGGCCTGACATGGTAAAGCCAGTGATGGGACCTGGGAAAGATCTTTATTTTATCTATAAAGCAAGATTGTTAGTAAAAGGAGACAAAACTAAATATCTGAATAGAATTCTCAGAATGGGAAAAGAAACAGAGTGGGAAAATTTATTAGGATTATAAGAAAATATAATGTGACCATTTCAGATTGGAATTTGAAATTATAGGGGAAATCAGTAAATATGTTTAATTTTCTCTAGATTTTGTTTTATTTGTATCAGTACAAACATGGAATGAAGAAACAATCTGTGGAGAGGGAGAAAATATTTGTCAAGCAAAAATATAATGGGTCAATATTCAAACTATATAAGGAACTAAAAGAATTCAATAGCAACACCCAAATAACTTGATTTTTAAAAAATGGACAAAAGACCTGAATAGTCATTTGTACAAAACACCCCAATATCCAGCAGGTATATGAAATAATTCTGACTATCTCAAATCATCTGGAAATGCAAATTTAAACTATAATAAGTTTCTACACTACATCTTTTAGAGTGACATAAAAAAGATGAAAGATCAGTGGTGGTGGTGATGGAGAGAAAGGAAACCCTTACATACACTGGGGAAGGGAGATACAAATTAATACATCCATTCTGGAAAATAGTATGGACATTCCTCAAAAATTAAAAAAGTATCACATAATTCAGCAATCCCACTTCTAGCTATATATTAAAAGGAAGTAAAATCAGTTTGTCAAAGATATCTGTTCTCCCATGTTCATTTTGCCATCATTCACAAGAGCCAAGATATGAAAACAAATGTCCATCAATGGATGAATGAACATTAATTTTTTTTAAAGTGTCTTTTGACCAAGCCATCTGGGCTCTGGAATGCCAGAAAAGGGGCGCGTGGCTTTGCTTCCAGCTAAGGGACATTGCATAGCCAGTGTTTGTAAGGGGAGAAGCTGGTGAAGAACATCTACATGAGATGAGAAATTCAGTGGGAATTTCCTAATCATGAGTTTCAGAAGATACTGTGACAGGTTTGAAAAGAATTGAACTAGAATTCTCAGAGTGGGGAAAGAAACAGTGGAAAGACAGAATGGGAGCTACCGTAAGAACTAGAATAGTCTTAGAGGGCCTGATGTTCTTAGAATGAGGTTCCTAATGATGTTATTCAAGGCGGTGTCCTAGGCCTATCAATCAGATTATACTATACAGTAGTACGTTTTGTCAGTCAAATTATAGTACACGGTATTTATCAGGAATATAAATATAAGGACAAATCTCACAAAGGGCATACAACTTGCACCTTGTGAGCCAGTACTGCTTAAGTACTGATTCCACTGTGAATAACATGAGGCCCTCTGTTCTTGCGCATAAGACATAAATATACCATCCTTGGGATAGAACAGAGATTCTGAAGCAAGATATCTAAAGTTTAATATATGATCTTGACATCTTCTGAAATATGTGTGAAAATAATTAACTGGTAAAGAAATTGAAACAAGTGGCTATCCAAATAGATATAAGACTGGATTTATATCGATATATATAAGGTCCTGGATTTCTAAGTGTTCTGTATCCAAGAATTCAATCACCACAGACCAAAATTAAAAAAAAAAAAATCATGTCTGTACTGAGTGTGTGCAGATTTTTTTTCTTGTGATCATTCCCTTAACAATTCAAGGTAACAACTACTTAAATAGAATTTACTTAAATAGAATTAATAATAGAATTAACTACAGTATATTCATATATGTTTTATGTATATGTATATACATACGTATATACACATGTATATATTCATATGTGTATATATATATGAATTTTCAGTCATTTTTCGAAACAAGGCCTGATAATATCTAATAATTTATAACTTATTAGATATTTTACGTAATCTAGACACTATTTAAAATACATGAAAATATGTGCACAGGTTATGTCACTTTTATATAAGGGACCCAAACATCTGTAGGTTTCAGTATTAGAGAGAGTCTTGGGTCATTAATCTCCAAAGGATGTTGAGGAATGATATGTATAATTAGGAACTCAATCTCCTTTATCACAGACATTCTTTGATATCCCAATACCCTTATATTTATATCAATTTAATTGAATTTCACCATAATTTTTTTTAAATGTGTTACAAAAACCGTAAGTAATCTACTTTTTTCATAGAAGAATGAAATGTAAATGAATGTAAATGTAAATGAAAGGGAGTTGTTTTTCTCTTTAAAGTTAAAATTAGTAAATTGGAAAGTCTTAAGTAGAGTTTCCAAAAATAATCCTTCTGCATTAATTGTAAGGAAGTTATCTGTAAAACATTTGGAAAAAATCTACAAATTATAAAAACTTTCAAAGCAAGTGACACAAGGAAGGAGGCTACATTTGTGACCCTCAGAGAAGAACATGGATTATTCTTTCACAAATGTAAGAAAGCACTAGGCCTTAGTAAGAAAAATAGAATAGTACAAATATAGCTATACAATTCATATAAGAATAAGTCAAATTATTAATGGCCTATAAAATATTCAAAGATATTTCATTTATTCAAAAAATATATAACTACAGTATATTCATATATATGTTTTATGTATACATACATATATACACACATATATATCCATATGTACATATGTGAATTTTCACTCATTGCCCAAAACAAGGCCTGCTAATATCCATCGTTGGCAAGATTGTAGGAAAATAAGTAATCTCATATAAATCTGTTATATTGATGAGAATGAGTGTCTGTAAATTCTCTTTGCTTGTACATTTGTAGTTATTCATTTATTTTAGCAGTCATTTAATTTTACTAAAGGATGCAATGTGCAGCAAAGCTATGAACCATGAAAGAGACTAAAAATATATTAATGAAACTAATAAGAAGAAAAAAAGGGGAAAAAAAGAAAATCAGAGGAGTCATTCTTATAATTTACATCAAAATGGATAGCATGAAGCAGAAATGGTTATGGTTGATACTGATTCTATAATTTTGAAAGTTTGATTCAGTAACTTGTATGTATGTGAGCTTTATGACATATTTTTTCCTATTTTTAATTTCCAAGTGTCCCGCCTTCTAAACCACATGCCCATATTATTGTTAATCTTTGATGATA